TGTTTCGGGGAGCACGTTTTGATCAGCCACTCTTCCCAGCCGCAACATCGGTAGCTCGTGAACAAGATGTCTCGGCTGCAACAAAGTACGCCCGGCAGCGAAGCATTTGCTCGGGCTTTGCCATTTGTCGAGTGCACCGCACCAGGTCATGGATGTCGCCGTTCCAACGGCGATGTCCCTCCGAACGGTGCATGACTCACTGCGCCCGCCTTAGCAACGGTTGATGAAAGAACATGATATACAGTTACAACATGACTCTACCAAGTTTACTACAAGAGCAGGATGTTCCGAGCATTTGTCGCAGCTCTCGAAGGAAGGCAAGGAAGCAAGGCTTCACTCCACGACTCCACACGGACTCGCGTGGCGGCATGGCGTACACGTGCACACGGCGGCGTGGGCCTCGGGGACTCACTCCCCGAACACCCGTTGCAACGGCTGACTGCACGTTGAACTTTGAACGACTGCGTTCAGAAGGCTGAGCCACGCCAATTCGAAAGCAAACCCCATTTAGTAGGGTGGGGCTCACAGTAGGTGCGGCTCGCGACCCGGGTCTACGTTGTGTACTCGACCGCTCGAGGCTTCGCCTCGAGTGGGCTTCGGATGGTGCAGAAGTTCTCTGGTCGGCCAACAACTTCGACCTGGATCCCTTGAAGCAAAAAAAGCTTCGAAGAACCTGCTGGCCACAACGCAGTGACCAAGGCTGGCGGAGACCTTGAAGGCTTTACCACCGAGGGCTGTCTCAGGGCCCACCACCCAGCTTCGGCAGCATGGTACATAGCTGGGAGATGCTGGGAGTATAGACGGTATATATAGACTTACATAAACCTTGTGGTCCGATCATTGCTGCCAGCTCAGGAGATTATGCGTCTGCATACCAGCCATGGCGCCATCTTGGTCGATGTCCGCCATCGCCTTAAACTTGTCTTTGTCCCGGATGCATCCAACGCCGCCGATACGATGCACCCAGCGCTGACCAATGCTTGGCAAGGTCTGCTGCTGTTGGTTCAGCCAGTGCATGCTAGGCCTCTCAGAGTCCTCAGGTCTGTTCTGTCTGAAGCCCAGCTATGCGGTTGCCAAGCACAGTTCTCTGCACGGCTTTCCTTAGGAGGGGCCAGTTTGAGACCTCCCAGAAACGGCGAAGTCTTTGGGCAGAGATGCTCAGAAGGGAACGTGGCAAGATACACAGCGATCTGAAGCATACTTGTTTTCTCCCAAAAGGCTAGCCTCATCCACTTCCTGCTGAGCGAACCATCGGTGCTCTGCTAAGACACTTCTGTGCTAGAGTCAGCGGACTTGGCTCGGATTTTGCTCTCAGGTACAGACCATCGAGGCCATGGAGTCGAACGAGGCCTTTCGATTCTGATACGAGCAGATCATCCATTGCGACTTCGCATTGAGTAGGAGCTTCTGCTGTACGCTGGCAAGCCGATGTTGCAGAGGCTGCAGGAGAGATGCGATGATGCCAGAATCAGAAGCTCTTGAGATCGGAGAGTCAGTTTGTGCCTCCTTTTGAGCGCGCTGTCAGGAGCTGTCTGCGGCCCAGAAGAAGCTGAGAGAGGAGGCGCCGATGGGGGTCTGCGTCAGCTGCCCTAGCGGCCCTCGCCCAAACCCTGAAACCTCTGTATACCCCAGATCTCCCTTTCAGCGGGCTCTGCATTTCTCAAGCATCCTCATCTCCTCTTGCGGTTTTGGGTTTGGTAATCTTTTGTTGGGGTCTCACGTTTCTCAACCAACATCTCCCTTCCCGTTTAAACTTAGACTTGTGGGTCCGGTCAGCGATATCTCCTGTTTGGGTTTGGGGTCTGTATGGGTCTGTCAACTAACTTCATCTCCTGTCAAGGCTTGGGGATTGGCAGCCCTTGAAGGGTCGGCAATTTCAGAGTTTTGGATATCTCAACCAACATCTCTGAGATTGGGACTTGGCTTCTTTCAGGTTTGGAAGTACTTGGCGTTGCTGTGCCCTGAAACCGCTCATGTCGCGACGACCCGAAATCGCGCGTCCTGAACAGACAATTCCGAATTTCACACCGTTCGACTCGAATCGGCGGGCCTGAAACGTACCTTGCCCGAGAGGGGGAGGGAGGCCACGACGAGAGCCTTCGTCATGAACTTGGAGATCTTGGGCTTGAGATCAAAAGGGCGCAATCCTTCCTTCAAGCACTCGATCACATGCGAACCAACAGCCTTCTTCCTCCTCTTCTTCCGCTTCCAGGCCAGAGAAGGCGAAGACCTTGCCTCCGCATTGCGTGATCGCGCAGTGTCTTCCTCAGAGCCTGGCCGCCTGGCCCTCTTGTCCACAGAGGCATGGCAAAGTGATCCTTTAGGGTTTCCCCTTATAGCAAGCCCAAGATTTGGCTCGAAGACATCATAGTGTCATGTGACATGGGCCAGGAACTGGAGGTGTCCTGCAGAAAGCTTCATTTGCCTGAGACAGTCCAGTTGTGTCCCTTTCGTGCTCGGAGCAAGAGGCTCTCAAGTTGAGACGACTTGAGGCCTTGGCAGAAAAGTGCCTGAAGCATATGGACTCGTTGAGCTACCAAGCCTTCGAGACCTGCCTGTCACCGCGAACTCTGAGGCCGCCGGATCACCTCAAATTCCGCGCCTCAAATGCTCTCTGCCTCAATGGAGGATGCAGACGAAGACTGCGCCTGCGGCGGAAGACCTCTACAACGAGGCTCCTCTGCACTTTTTCTACGGTTTGAATCTTGGTGACTGCGTCCGGGAGAGGAGCCATGGCACCCGGCTATCTCTTGCTTGCAGCAGTATTTGCACAAGGTGCTGCCTTAAACTTTAAACGACCCTTGGTGACTTGCACTCATTGCGAGAGCATCTGAAAGTCCTGAGAGGCATCGCCAGCTGGTCCCGCCTTCGCACTCGATGTTGCTGCGCTGGCCAGCCAACGCCTGAAGGCCTGAAGTTGGTTTCTCGGTTGCGCGCTGACTTAACTATCATTGCCACAAAAAACAGTGTCTTCTTGCAGGCTCTCCAGTCCTGACGGTAACACGTGGATGTATGCAGGGCCCAAAGTGGCCCTGCAGAACCCCGGCACCGAAACCCCGGCACCGGAACTTGACTGCGCATGCCCGAAAATCAAGTACTGGAGTCCTGGCTTGGGAGCGCTTGGATCTCCCCTCGGTTTCTGCTCGCTCCAAAACCAAGCCTGATTTCAATTACTTGCTAACATCCAGGCACATGCAACCCAAAGCCGCCTGAAATCAACGCTACCGACTGGACATGTAGGATTTTGGGTCTAGGGTGCTGGGAAGACTTCTGCAGACTGCAACTTGCCTCAGCTTTGACTCGATGGCACGGCAGTGACGCGCTGCATCACCTCGGTCGTCCTCCTATAGCTGCCGCTCTAATCACTTCCAACCATGACTTCACCAGTCGGAAGCTTGACTTCGAAGGTTCCTGTCAATCCTCTAGACACATCTCCTGAACATTCCCAGTTTATACCCCAGGACGATGTTCAAGAAAGCTGTCGCCCACTGTGCGATGACGCACAACATGCAACATGAACGTCTCACCTGACGGCAAGTTTGTTAGCGTCAGCCACGTTCCATCCGTTTGTCGCAGAAAAGCGCTCAATTTGGTTGGAAGACATCCGCCCGGAAAGATGTTCCACATATTTTGCTTTCGTTTCATTGAATCTCGCGATTCGAGTGGCACTGGAGCATTGTCGCATGGTGGGGCATCAAAGACTGAACGGTGTAGCATCATGTGGTGTAAGTACTGCTTGCATGCTAGCCTCGTTGTGTTCAGGTGAACCAGCCGAATTAGCACATAAGTTGCTTCGAGGCGAACAGAAAAAATGCTCAGAATGTGCCGGAGGCTTCCCCTGCAAACGATAGAGAGTCGCAACATTCCACAAAGTTACTCTTCGTTGGGCATGCCGCACTGTGTCTGTTCCCTGACAGTGCACCACTGGTCGAGGAGGCTGAATTGGTTGCTGCTCGATGAGCAAAACGCCCCCCCCCCCCCCCCCCCACCCGCCCGCACCCCGCCGCAATCGTAGCAACCGCTTTAGACTGATTCAGGGTCTGTCTCGTGTTACAGTAAAATCATCTCCATGTCGCTTGGATACCATGCAAAAACATCACCTGCCGCTTCGGGCACGCGTCTCTGTAGCCCTTCTTTGACGAGACCAGGTCATGTTGACAAGACCTGTGATGCACGGTTCGTTCTCGCTGACGGGAGCCGCATCGTGGGAATCGGCTCTTCGGACCTTGGAACAGTGCATCACGACACCACACGAAGACCAACGCAAGGCCATGGCTTCCGCATGGAGAGAGCCGCAGTATCACGCTATGACATGGAATGCCTGAAGCGCCGGGAGCCTGGTGGAAGTGTCTACGTCTACGAGCAGCCAGCAGATGCCAGCAGGCGAGTGGCTGTCAGCCGGCAACCAACAAAACCGTCTAATCCTCTGCACACCACGAGTCTGCAGAAAGGCTTCCTTCTTTGGGAGAAAATTGGGCCGCTCGTCCGTGCCTCAAGCGAGAAGTTGAAAGGCTCCGTGTGCGGAACTGCAATATCAAGGGCATACATATACTGCTGCATTTACGCTAATATGCCGTTTGATGGCAAGCTGCGGGTAAACATGATTTGCTCTAACAGAGCTGTCAGATCTGCGAAAGGGTTTGGGACTTTGGCTTTGGGACCGGGCCACAGGGCCGGGGCCCATCCTTTTTCTGAAAGACTCGCAGCGCAATCAGTGCAGGCTCATGCAGGCTCTGTGCTCTCTTCAGGGTGCTGTAGGCTGTATAGGAGCTTCATGGCCTATGTTTCAGAAGGCTTGAGAAGCTAGGGATTATCGCTAACTTGGCAGGTTTAGGCATTGGAATGTCGAGGGCGTGGAGTCTCGTGACGGTGTATTATTTCATAGTGACACTAGACAAACACATGTGATTCATCTTCGATACCAGGATTTTTATGTGATGGTTTGGTCGATCATCAGAGCACGGAGGCAAAGGAAGCAGAAGGGAGAAAAACATACTGCCATGGGTTCCAGCGCAAGCCGTGTGGTCGGACCTCCCGAGACGCCCCCGGCTGGCCATTGCTTTACCGCCGCAGATTCGCAGCGATTACGCTTTTGCGGACGGCATCTGCAAAATGAAGGCACGGCAAAAGCTGTTCCAAGCAGAATGGGGGGAGAAGCTCCCTGCTTTTCGGCGTTGGAGGAGAGAGGCACGCACGCAGCACACAGAGACACACACAGACACGCGCACGCACACACACACACACACACACATACACACACACACACACACACCCACAAACCCATACACACACACACACCCACACACACACACACCCACGCACACACACGCTCGCACACACACGCTCGCACACACACGCTCGCACACACACGCTCGCACGCACACACACGCTCGCACACGCACGCTCGCACACACACGCTCGCACACGCACGCTCGCACACACACGCTCGCACACGCACGCACACGCACACGCACGCTCGCACACACACGCACACGCACACACACACACACACACACACACACACACACACCCACCCACACACACACACACGCTCGCACACACACACACACACACACAGACTTGTGCAATCTTCCCTCTGGCTTGTCTTTGGAATCTACTTGGGTGTTCATCGCCATTCCAGGTTTATGGTTTTGCCTGGTTGCCATGCAGAATCAAAAGAATTTGTGGGGTTCTTGGTTTAGCCCCATGCCACTACAGAAAACATCGCAGGTACGTTTACACGAGAAGACAGGTAGATGGGTGCGCAGTCTTCGTTGGCCAGTGCACGCACTCATCTTACCTGCCTCTCCGCCCCTGTTTTGTTTCTATTGTACATCCCTTGGTAATAGGGTTTCCCACACACACACACACACATCCTCTCCCTTTATCTTTCGCTCTCTCTGCTCCGTGAGGCGGCGGAAGCGTTTCCTTCGATTGGCCCTGCACGAGCTTCCGCTTCCGGACCCGTTCGAAGCGCGTCTGGCTGCGGATGGATGGCGCCAGGAACTATTTCAACGTGCTAGTCAATGGCGGCTGCTCCTCCGCAATGAAAGCGTAATCGGCGGTTTGCAGACACACGAGACACGAGGCCTGCTGCTGGTGCTGAAGACTTCTGCGGCCCTTCGAGACTACCGCTTGGACATCCCAGTGCCAACGGCCCCAGCGCGGCCAGCGGGAGCCGGAGGATCTGTCGTGGAGGACCGGGCCGGGCTCTTGAACTGCCCAAGAAAGATGTCTTGAGCGACGCCTTGTCCGAAGCCAGGTGCAAAAGCGCACAGAGGCACGTGGCACGTTTCGCTTGCAGAGGTCGTTGTTAAACGGAATGCTTCCGAAGTCCCATTGCCCACCCGTCCTGAATCTATATTGAAAGATTTTAGAGACATGCGAGATGCGCAAAGGCCCAGGACTTGACGATACTTGTTACATGCTGGGATGTGCAAGCTCTCTCACAAGGCGTAAGGAGCAGGCCTGGACAAGGACCATCACTGCAATTGCGCAAACTTGCGCAAGCTCAAGGTTGCCTTTTGTTTGGATACGGATCTAAAGATCCGGAAGACATGTCAATCGCATGTGTGGGGCAAAGGCAATACTGAACCGGCCGGTAGGCACTCATTGGCAGCTTGTTTCAGAAGCCGACCGGCCTTGTCGTGCTGCATGGCATCATTGCGGACAGCGAGCTGGAGGAGCTGCCCCCTGACGAGGTCCCAGAAGCACAGAGACAGTGAGAGCTGAGAAAAGGATGTGATGAGGGCGGAAGAGACGAGCGCGAGAATCCGCAGCACGGAGGTGACGCGGCAGCTGGAGTTTTTGGGAGACTCGGAGACGAGCGGATTTGGCAACCAAGGGCCCAGCCAACCGGGCGAGCCAGGAGCCCAATATAACGTTCGTGCTCATAGTCGGCATTATCATTACAGGCTTTGTGACATCGAAGAGGCTTTGTGCCGTGTAAAGGAATCCGGAATGTGGCAGGGAGGCATCGGTCCGGAGGTCAGCAACGCGAAATGTGGACTTGCATATTGAGTTTTCGTGGGCCCTAACACGAGACACGAGTTGCTTTGCTACTTACAGGCCTCCCTATCACGCGGCGAGAAGCCTTGCTTGAAAGCTGCTTCGACGATTCGTTTGCTTGAAAATGCTTGCAAGATGCTCGAATCGGCGTGAAGCTCTAGAACCTCTTGCTTCCGACCTGCTGGCAATCCGAGTCCCTCGTGCTCACAACAGTTCCTCTGCAACAGCGATTCGGAGTCGGGGAGAGGTGAGGCGCGATGCCATCGCGTTGTACGGACCTTTGACCCGGCCATTCCGGTTCGCCTGCAGTCGCGGGCGGTGCAGTTCGCAGGACTCATCTCCGTGCTGTCTGCGGCACGCTTGGCGATGGGTTGAGACTGTGGACATGTGCTCGGGGTTTCAGGGGCTCCGTGACGAGTGCGATTCCTAGATGCATCCTGCACATCAAGATGCCAATCAAGCCTGGCCAGCACTGGTCGCAGGAGATCTGCGTGCGTGTGAATTTGTGCGGAGGTGATGCCTTATGCGCCCTGTCCAGGAGCCCTCAAAGCAGACTTCCACAACATAGCCTGGAGTGGAGCAGGTGTCGTACGGCCCCCTGTTCGGTGACCCGTGTGCCTCCTAAACTGCCACTTGCTGTCCGTTGCTTCTGCGGTCGCTCCCTCATGCTCTTTTGCAGATTCTTGATATCTGGCGCCATGCGCCGAAGGTTTGGAACGCTCCTGGCTGCTCAGCAGAAGTACCCTTCAAGGTCATGTCGTGCCGGCTTACCTCGCTGCGGCACTTGCCGTCCTGCTGCGCAGGACCTCTACCTGAGAGTTCTGGGGACGAAAGAGACACTCGCAAAGAATGGAGGTCGCGTTCAGTCCATGGTCCATTCCTCTTCGCCCAGGGAGCCGACCATCAAAAAGGGCGACGGGTGGTCTCCAGAAGCCACGGTGGTGTACCTGGGCGGGAACGACTGGTGGTCTCTCTCTTCTCGAGGTCGACCCGGGTCGGCAGCGCATGGCAGCGCTCAAAGGCTTAGAGCCCCTCGCCGAAGACTCATCAGGTGACGATGCCCTGATCGACGGCTTGCGCGAGTTCCTCACGCGACTTCGTGCTTACAGAGGCGACTACCGGATTGGGATGCGACAAGGAATTGCCAAAGCTTTCAGATGCTGGCAGGACCAGAAGTTCCTATTTGCATTCTGCTACCATCGCCAACTTCGGTATGCGTGTCTCGGCTGTTTGAGGCAAAGCAGACTCATGAGACACCGCAAAGCAAGGCATGTGGCATTTTGCTCCTATTGCCTAAAACACCCACGCCCACGGCGAAAAGATATGGAGATTAGGCCTGTGCTGAATCTATGCAATGCCCAATGATCTCGGAGGCATGCATTGGCAGCTTGCCAGATCAGGTCGCTTCGTTTAGAGAGAGAGAGAGAGAGAGAGAGAGAGAGAGAGAGAGAGACTGTTTTTGCTGTGTGTGTGTGTGGGTGTTTCTCTTGAAACATCGCAGAGACGGAGGCGACCTTTGCAGCTGACATGTCACGCTGTTGGCCGGGCACTTGGGGCCTTGCCACGACGAGCTTGAAAGCTTCGCCGCGACCAGGCGTGCAGCTGCTCAGCTGGCTGGTGACGAGAAGGCCAGCAAATGGTTCAAGAACGACATCCGTAATTTTTCGCTAGCCAGGTCTTCCTGGATTTGATTGAGCCTGACCCCCCTTGCTCGCTGTCCAATCCCTCAGACTGGGGACAGATGGGGCCCCGGACTTAGTCGCGGTGGGGGCTACTGCTTCTTGAGTTGCATTCGCCTGGGGGGGCGCTCTGCAGGCATTGGTCCGTGGAGGCCTCGAGCTGATGTTGTTGCCGTGCTCTTGGTGTATCCCCTCAATCGATCTTCGCACTTGCGGACCCCCCCGGCAGGGGAACAAGAAGTGGGCGGCAGCCGTGGTTCCCGTTCTCAAGGCACGGCTAGATTCGATAACTACCTGAAGCGGCGGAAAGGAAAACGAGAGTCAACAACTGTGCATTGCTGCGGACTTGACTAGCACTAGCACATGTCCGAGGCTTGCATGTCCTGCAAACGGCATGCTGCAGCCGGCAGACTGTTGGGCACCGCGCTGGCTCAGACGTGGGCTTGGGCTCAATCCTCGGCGCCATGCAAGTTCTCGTTCAACGCCTCGAGGGAGTGCCGGTCGGGACCGCGGTTTCGCTGTTGAGTGCCTTCTCCCTCTTGTATTTTGATCTCCCATGTCCATGCCGATCTTGGCGGTGCAGGAGCTACTTAAGCATCGGCAGCGATGGGCAGAGGATTCTGAGGTCGGGAGAGGCTGTGCGTGCGCAGAGACAGTGTGCACGGCCGGAGGCGATTAGAAGCCGGCCGGAGCATCTCGATTCCCGGTGCAGAGATCGGAGCATTGAAGATCGAGGCATAGGCATGTCAGGCATGTCACGAAGTTTCGGGTGGCGCTTGGCCAGCGGGGCAGCATGTCAGCGAGGTGCTGCAGAGCCTGGGCAGTGGCTACGTGGTGAAGCAGCCACTGCGCTAAGCTGCCAAAGGACCGTTCCATTTTTTGCACCGGTGCCGTGAGAGCTGAGGCCTGGGCCTGGGCGGCAGCAGTGCAGCCTGCCGCGAGCCGAGCGAGCCGAGCCAAAGGACAAGAGAAAGGAAAAAGACGAACAACAATTCTTTCCTGTGCAGAGCATACGTCTCAGAGGTCCTACATTCGACCCGCTAGTGTCGATGTCGCCAGTTAAGGCAGTACAGCACGGAGCAGCCTCCTTTACCTTGCAAGGGCAAGGGTGTTCACACCCACAGGCAATCAATCAATCAAGTTAAGGCAAGTGGGCGTATGTCTGTATGGTGGATATTTCCAAGAACTGTGGCTACAAGTGCTGCGCAAGGACAACCTGGATGGTCTGCGGAAGCACGCACCCGAAGCATCAGCTTAATCTTAAGATTAAGATTCTTATTCCACATCAGTGTTTGTACCGCTAAATGTCAAGCACTTGAAGAGCTTCCTGCCGTGACCAAGTTGAGGTTCACGGCGTATCCGGAAAAGTTACTTGCAATTGAACCATGACTTCCAGGGCGAACTGCTTTCGTTCCTTAGTGCTCGCGACTTTTCGCTGGAAGACCACTGACTCGTCCAAGCTCTGCCGTGAATTAGTTTAGTTGCCATTGTCGATCAATGCTTACCACGTGCCTCGAAGTACTCGGACGGGAATGCGATCTTCGCTGCCAGATTCGTATGCTGACAGTGCAACATCAAGGGGCCGCATTGGAAATCATTGGAAAGTGCCTTTCAATTTGGACCTCTCCAATCCTGCACTGTTTGGGGTCTGTGCCCGGACAGCGTAAGTCTAGTCATTTTCTTTTGCTCGTACACATGTAACATACAATGCGCACGCTTGTGTCCTTCCGAGGTCCTTCCTACCTGAGACAGACAGGGCCATGAAGAACACCAAGATGCTGCTGGAGCTTCAACTGACGCCTCAGTCGTCAAGCGCTCAGCTTCTGGATGCTTGCAGAATGCTACAGAAGGAGCCTTTCAGCGGAAATCTCTGCTCCTAGGCTCTCTCAAGGTTTGAGGCACTATGGTCGTTGCTTATCTCGTCATCATCAATGAAACTGTTTTGGTGCCTGCGCATCATCGTGCCTGTTGCCACTGGCAGTCAGTTTTCTCTACTATACAGGTTTAATGTTGGCAGGGAACTGAGGGGATATACAGGAGATCGGAGTTTTCGATTCATGTTGGACAACTTCTCCAAAGCCAGAACTCAGAACTGTTTACCTCACAAAAGCACGGAAAGACCTCGCGTTGAGTTTACAATCGGATGACCGACTCGGCCTCCTCAGATGTAGATGCAAGCCGTCGCTTCTTCGCCTTTCTGCTATGGTCATTTAAAGTGTTATCTCGGAGAACAGCAGGGCCCGGGCGGCACAGCCTGGCATGTGAAGATCCAAGGCCTGCAGAGGCTGCAAGTAAAGCTCCCAGCCAGGAGGACTTTCTGAGCAACGTTGCGTCCCTAATTTCACAACCCACAGCCTGTCGCAGAGCGGGATCTCGCAGAGGAGAATAGCTTTTACTTGCAGAGACACAAGCTGTCGGAGTACTTCAAGGCCAGTTTGCCTGGAAGCCAGTGGAGCCAGATTTTGTCCAGCCAGGCGCTGCTTTCTGCCATGCTACGCCAGAAGCCGTGGCATGCTGAGATCTCCAATTAACGCTTTGACCACTTATTGTTTTCAGTGCACCTATGTGCAGCTATTTCACAGGTCTGATCCCTATGCCTGGATGCTGGGACAGACACCCCGGCACGCATTGATCAGCCTTCGCCGTTTCAATATGTTTCAATAATCTGTTTCCACCAGCAGCGGCGAAGACATCTCATTGCAGCTGCACCATGAACTTCGTCGGAGCTTTGTACTTATCTTGGTTCTTAACGACATGGCCGCTTGACTCCCCGTGCCGAAATTCAATAACCAGACAAAGGTCACTCGCCGGCAGATCACGCAAGGTAGCCTTGAGAGGAAAGCAGGGACTACAGCCTGCGGCGACGGCTTGGCAAACAAAGACACCAGGGAATCGGACATGGCTTTCGGTTAGCAGCAGATCGAGCCTCCTGAAAACCATGCAAGCACCGTGAAGAAGGATTTTCTTGGCAGCAATCATCGGTGTGAGGTTCCGACAGTTGCAGTGATAACGGAAGCATTAGGGAGACGACATCGAAGCGCACAACGTCTGCCAGGCTGCAAGGTAAGATCATAGCCTCGCCTCCTGCAGAGATTTCAACATTAAGGCGGGGAGTTGCTGTGCAGCTGCATGCTCGCTATAACAAAGCACAGACGTGTCCCTGAAGGCGTGTTCCTTCGTTCCAGGGTGGTGCCTGCGTCATCACAGGTCCCAGCGGTGTGGGCAAGTCGACGCTGATAAAGAAGCTGATGGCAGAGTTCCCGGGTCAGTTCGGATTCTCGGTGTCGCACACCACGCGAGAGCCTCGAGCAGGGGAGCAAGCCGGCGTGGACTATCACTTCGTGACCCGAGATCAGATGCAGCAGGATATAGATGCGGGCCTTTTCGTGGAGCATGCAGAAGTGCATGGCAACCTCTACGGAACTTCCATTGAAGCAGTGCAGGCCGTGACACGGCAAGGCAAGGTATGCCTGCTGGATATCGACGTGCAGGGTGCCGAATCTGTCCGTCAGTCAAAGCTGTCCAGCACATGTTCCTTCGTTTTCTTTGCCCCACCGACCGCAGCCGTTCTAGAGCAGCGACTGCGCGGGAGAGGCACTGAAACCGAAGAGAGGATCCAGAAGAGGCTAGGCAATTCCTTGAAGGAGCTTGAGATCTATGAGGCAAATCCGGATGCGTGGGACCTGACCCTGAAGTGGTACAACGAGCAAGTGGATGATGCCTACCAAGACTTTCGGAGCTTCCTTATAGGACAAATCCCCACAGATGGGCCTTCCATCCAGCACATTGCTACAGTTCGCCGAGCTCCTTCATTCAAGGGTGGCGCATGTGCAGTGCTCTCAGTGGCAGAGTTCACCCACGGTACGGCAGGTGCAGTCGTAGAATCAAGGAAAACCCCGTAGTGTGGCATCCAAGACCTAAGGTGATCACAGGTCCCAGCGGTGTGGGCAAGTCGACGCTGATAAAGAAGCTGATGGCAGAGTTCCCGGGTCAGTTCGGATTCTCGGTGTCGCACACCACGCGAGAGCCTCGAGCAGGGGAGCAAGCCGGCGTGGACTATCACTTCGTGACCCGAGATCAGATGCAGCAGGATATAGATGCGGGCCTTTTCGTGGAGCATGCAGAAGTGCATGGCAACCTCTACGGAACTTCCATTGAAGCAGTGCAGGCCGTGACACGGCAAGGCAAGGTATGCCTGCTGGATATCGACGTGCAGGGTGCCGAATCTGTCCGTCAGTCAAAGCTGTCCAGCACATGTTCCTTCGTTTTCTTTGCCCCACCGACCGCAGCCGTTCTAGAGCAGCGACTGCGCGGGAGAGGCACTGAAACCGAAGAGAGGATCCAGAAGAGGCTAGGCAATTCCTTGAAGGAGCTTGAGATCTATGAGGCAAATCCGGATGCGTGGGACCTGACCCTGAAGTGGTACAACGAGCAAGTGGATGATGCCTACCAAGACTTTCGGAGCTTCCTTGTAGGACAAATCCCCACAGATGGGCCTTCCATCCAGCACATTGCTACAGTTCGCCGAGCTCCTTCATTCAAGGGTGGCGCATGTGCAGTGCTCTCAGTGGCAGAGTTCACCCACGGTACGGCAGGTGCAGTCGTAGAATCAAGGAAAACCCCGTAGTGTGGCATCCAAGACCTAAGGTGATCACAGGTCCCAGCGGTGTGGGCAAGTCGACGCTGATAAAGAAGCTGATGGCAGAGTTCCCGGGTCAGTTCGGATTCTCGGTGTCGCACACCACGCGAGAGCCTCGAGCAGGGGAGCAAGCCGGCGTGGACTATCACTTCGTGACCCGAGATCAGATGCAGCAGGATATAGATGCGGGCCTTTTCGTGGAGCATGCAGAAGTGCATGGCAACCTCTACGGAACTTCCATTGAAGCAGTGCAGGCCGTGACACGGCAAGGCAAGGTATGCCTGCTGGATATCGACGTGCAGGGTGCCGAATCTGTCCGTCAGTCAACGCTGTCCAGCACATGTTCCTTCGTTTTCTTTGCCCCACCGACCGCAGCTGTTCTAGAGCAGCGACTGCGCGGGAGAGGCACTGAATCCGAAGAGAGGATCCAGAAGAGGCTAGGCAATTCCTTGAAGGAGCTTGAGATCTATGAGGCAAATCCGGATTCGTGGGACCTGACCCTGAAGTGGTACAACGAGCAAGTGGATGATGCCTACCAAGACTTTCGGAGCTTCCTTATAGGACAAATCCCCACAGATGGGCCTTCCATCCAGCACATTGCTACAGTTCGCCGAGCTCCTTCATTCAAGGGTGGCGCATGTGCAGTGCTCTCAGTGGCAGAGTTCACCCACGGTACGGCAGGTGCAGTCGTAGAATCAAGGAAAACCCCGTAGTGTGGCATCCAAGACCTAAGGTGATCACAGGTCCCAGCGGTGTGGGCAAGTCGACGCTGATAAAGAAGCTGATGGCAGAGTTCCCGGGTCAGTTCGGATTCTCGGTGTCGCACACCACGCGAGAGCCTCGAGCAGGGGAGCAAGCCGGCGTGGACTATCACTTCGTGACCCGAGATCAGATGCAGCAGGATATAGATGCGGGCCTTTTCGTGGAGCATGCAGAAGTGCATGGCAACCTCTACGGAACTTCCATTGAAGCAGTGGAGGCCGTGACACGGCAAGGCAAGGTATGCCTGCTGGATATCGACGTGCAGGGTGCCGAATCTGTCCGTCAGTCAACGCTGTCCAGCACATGTTCCTTCGTTTTCTTTGCCCCACCGACCGCAGCTGTTCTAGAGCAGCGACTGCGCGGGAGAGGCACTGAAACCGAAGAGAGGATCCAAAAGAGGCTAGGCAATTCCTTGAAGGAGCTTGCGATCTATGATGCAAATCCGGATGCGTGGGACCTGACCCTGAAGTGGTACAACGAGCAGGTGGAGGTCGCAGCATCCGGTTCAAGGGATCTGATAAAGCATGGATGTCGTCAGTTGCATGTTGGAAATATTTGCATGTTTACGCCCGCAGAAGCTTGCAGGATGCATATGCCGAGCTCAGGGACTTCAGCATCCAGCAGCTGCCATGAGATTTTCAGAAAAAACCTCGTAGAGACGACAAACTGTCAGTCTTTTCACGCCGCTTGAGCCTTTGCAGGATGCAAACACGAACTCAAGCGCCAACTTCATGCAAGGGTAACCGCTCCGTCTGCCTGCGGAGAGGCCTGGTCTGACGGCAAAGCCGATGACTTCCGTTAATGCAGCGACGTTCGGGGATTCGAGCCTTGCGAAGCAAGGAAGCCCAGTCAAGAAAGATCAGAAGTCTCGCCGCCTCGTCTTCTTTTGGTGTAGCAGCCCCACATGGACCAGGAACATCAGAAAACACACACGCACACTCTTGTGGCAGATCTTATGATCCGAATGTCAGTCGGGAATGTGGCTCTGTTTTTTTCTGTTTCTGCTCATCTGACTGGTTGCTGTGTCTTTCTTTTTATGTGGGACTCCAGGCTCTGTCCTAGACATGACTGTAAGCAACAGCAAGAACATGACTGTAACTGCAAAGCTACTATAGTGAGTTCCCAAGCTGCCACGTAGTGCCCATGAGCAACCCGCGCAGGTACGGAAGTACTCGTCAGCAACTCCATCCACTCAAGCCCCATAGCTTTGTTAGCATGGCTTTGAGAAAATAAGTCTGGATTTCAATTTCAATTATGTTTTAAAACCGATTCTAATACCTCATTAAGGGTTTTAGGGATTAGCTTCGAGAAGCAATTAAAATCGATGTTAATACCTTCTCAATTTTTCTTTTGCCAATGACTTGAAATCAATTCTAATACCCTGGTCCAGAGGTTCTGGGTTCGGAAACACTTGGAATCGATTTTAATTGATTTTGCTATTGGGACCCCTGCACAGGGTATTAAAATCGATTTTAATTGGTCCGCCTCGTGACAACACTTGGAATCGACTTTAATTGATTTTGCTATTGGGACCCCTGCACAGGGTATTAAAATCGATTTTAATTGGTCCGCCTCGTGACAACACTTGGAATCGATTTTAATTGATTTGGCTATTGGGACCCCTGCACAGGGTATTAAAATCGATTTTAATTGGTCCGCCTCGTGACAACACTTGGAATCGATTTTATTTGATTTGGCTATTGGGACCCCTGCACAGGGTATTGAAATCGATTTTAATTGGTCCGCCTCGTGACAACACTTGGAATCGATTTTAATTGATTTGGCTATTGGGACCCCTGCACAGGGTATTAAAATCGATTTTAATTGGTCCGCCTCGTGACAACACTTGGAATCGATTTTAATTGATTTGGCTATTGGGACCCCTGCACAGGGTATTCAAATCGATTTTAATTGATATGGGACGCATTTGTACACCTGGATGACAGGACTTGGGACCGTTCAAAGCATTAAGGGGGCGATAGCAACCCTACGGTTTCGTGATCTAGGCTTTCGTACCCAGGTGCTATACTTAGAGGTTCATGGGACTTAGTAACTATGGTTATAAATAAGGTAACTAAGTTGAAGATTTACGAACAACCTCCATGTAAAGAAGTGTAGCCTGACTATGTAACTTCTGAAGCCTTAAGTACGCCATCGACATTTGGCTCAAGATGAAAAAGGCGCCGCTGAGCTGTGCCTTCACGTTCAGGGCAGGGTCCTTCTTTTGGGGTTTCCCTTCCCTTCCTCTCCTTTCTTACCCTGACATAGCGTTGTCTCTGTTTGGGGTCAGAATAACTGGTTATCAGCCGTAGTGTTCGTTCTTCCCTTTTGGTTTGGTGAAGTCCTTTAGAGCGTAAGTCTCTCCATGGACGCACCGGACCCAGATCGTGGCCCAGAGATCCTTCCGAGGCCACGTGGGATCCGAGCTGGGAAAAGTGCGGTACGTAAACGTAAAGCGTACCAGCAGTACCAGCTGAATCTTCAACCGTTCCGATATACTTCCTTAGACGACGTACCAGTCCGTCACTCCGACGGCAGTCAGCGGCCGCTTTATTCGAAGCCGGGTTGGCGACCCATCTTTGAATCCGACAGCGAGCCCGAGGAAGAATTGGTTGAGGTTGAAATAGAAGCAGAGGAGCCGCCACTCATTCCAAAGGCGTCAGGGGCAGTGCCGGGATATCATAGGATTCGCACGCCACCTGCTCCTCCTGCGCCGCCTGTGCGGCCGTCGTCTTCATCATCGGCGAGCGCAGTGGCTATAGCACCTTCTCAGGGTCCGTCGGCGAAAGTATCATCTTCAGCGCCTTCTGTTACAGCTTCAGTTTCTGGACAACGGTTGGCCCCTACGCCGAAGGTGAGGATTACTCCCGCAGCGAAGACTGCGGCGGTGCCTAAGGTGTCTGTTCCGACTCCGCCGGCGTATCCTCCTGATCCTAAGATTACTGCTCCGAAGACTCCTCCCAAGAATCCACCGAAGCCTCCAGCGTCAAGGCAGAGTCAGGAGAGTCAGGCTGCAGTGATCCCGAAGGTGCCGCCGAAGTCAGCCCTCACTTCAGATCCTATTGTTGACCTACCGAGGAGCGTCTTGTTACACTTTTAGCAGGTGCAACTTCAGAGTCGAAGATAGCCAGCGGCTTGAGGGCAAGGTCGTCGTATTTGATTTTCACAACGTGATTGACCGATATTATTGGGCACCTCGCGTTGGACAGCGGAAGCAGCAGTATAAGATCCCTTACCCGAACGAGGCACCGGAGTTGCTCTCGGACGTTCAGGGTCTTCTTAGGCGTGTCCACAGAGCTGCAGAGGAGGCGGGAGCATTGGTGGTGATTTGCTCCCACATTGGTGAGGGATCCAGGAGCATCGAGGATTGGGCCTTGGACACCCTTCGAAACACCTTTATACAATCTGTTGGTCAACGCCAAGCCGATTTAGTCATCATCACTCGATCCCGCACAGGACGCCTCGGAAAGCTTGACATCTGTCGACGCCTTTTCCAGCAGCCATCGTTGTTGATAATAGACGATAACACGGGGATCTGTGAGGAGTGGAACAGATCGGCTAACGCTGCTGCGTTTCACATCCAATTGCCTCGCCGGGATCTGCCGTCAATTGGTCGTTCCTTTTCCTCGATTTTCGAGGCGGAACCTTCCATTTTGAATTGGATCTCTGGCTGAAGTGCTCAGCGTGTGCATTCGGACTTGGTGTGAAAGGCTGCCTTGCGCCACCACCTTGTCTTCGGCAGTTTGGTTTAGGGTTACTTTCAGGCTTCAGGGTACTTCTGTGTGGTCTGTTTGACCGGGGGTATCTGTGTGGTCTGATCGGCGCATCGCGCCACTGACTTGCCTTCCTGCTAGCGCACATCTGTCATCATGTCACAATCTCAATCAACCCCAACTGATCCAAGCTCATTGCTTGACATCTCCAGTGCCTCAGCAGCCGCGGTTCCGGGTATGAGGGATTCCTCTTGTGCTTCGGGTGGTTCAGAGAGTAGTTCAGCCTTGGTTGAACGCGAACGCTCACCTCCTGCCAACCGAAGAGCCTTAGCTCGGACTCCCAGGAAAGCTTCAGCCCCGTACCCAGCTGTCAATGCCCCTCTCGACGAGTCTGGTATTCCTACTGTTGTTCATAACCAGATGCTCAACATAGGAGCCACGCCTCAGCAAGTCCTTGCTGCTCAGCAATTTGCTGCTGGTGAAGCTGCCAATCGAGTCGCCGCTCAGGCGGAGCTGCTACACCAGGCTTCTATCAGTGAGGTACAAGGCCAAGTCAGGGACGTGTTGACCGAAGCAGGGTCTGCTGTTGATCAGCTTCGGGAACAGCTTAGGCATTCGGAGATTCGATGCGGGGAATTGTTTGAGTACGGTCAATATGTTGAACGTCAGCTCGCAGAGGCAAAGGCGGAGTTGAATATGTTGAATTTTCAGCTAAATCAAGTCCGGGTAGAGTGCCAGATCAAGGAGAGAGAGATTCAGAGGCTTCGGTCGGCTGCTCCATGCGCCTCGACCTCCGGATCTCCTCCTAAGCCACCGAAACCCCATGCTCCGCTAGGCGGTTCCGGGTCTGGTGCTAGTGAAGCGTCATGGACTCACCTTGAAGCTTCCGATCCTCCCACTCAGCATCTGCTGTACTCGGGTACCTTTGTTCCTCCGCCCGCACATACACATCTCGCAGACCACCTGAAAATGTTTGCATGGGCTGCAGATCCAGCAGGCGTGGCCGACACAACAAGCGGCCAGCTTCTTCAGATGCTAAACGTGAGGCTGCCGGTGCTCGTGGTCCTGCTTCTGAGATGAAGCAGGCAGCTTCAACTGCTGCCGTGTCTGATGCTGGTAGCGGCGTGCCCTCGCCCTCGTCCTTGCCCCTGCCATCTTCAGCGCCTTCGCCCTCGGCTTCGCTTGAGTCAAAAGCAAGCCAGGAGATGATGCCAATGCCCACGCCTTCCTTTGCGCCTGTGCCCTCGCCTTCGGGCGACCAGGACCTGCAGGACGAGTACGAAGACTTCAGCGACAAGGTCGAGACACTACTGAGTCCTCTGAAAGCACTGTATGGGAGAGTGGCGGCTTACGAATTCTTGTCCCGAGCGTTTGCGGTCATTGACCGCTACAAGACGAGGCAGGTTCCTCTGCCAAAGTGTTGTGCCTACAGCCTCCTGTCGTTTGCTATGGCGCTCAGTGGCATAGCAGATGAGGACACCAAGCGGGCGGAATGGTTTGCTTTGGTGACGACAACTTCGCAGAATGCCGTTGCCGTGGTCAATGCCAAGTGTCTGCGAGAGAACATATGTCTGTGGAGCATGACATATCCTTAAGAGTTTTGGGGAAATGCTGGAGAGCAATAACTTTGACACCTGTCTTATTGCGAAACCTCTTAGCTGCTGCGAATCCCTTTCCTGGGTGACTCAGCCTCTTAGCATGTGCCGGTCTGGCAAGCCAGTCCCTGCACTCCATTCTTCCGTGTCGGGGACGGAAAAGGATCTTGTCTGAAATCAGCTTCGTCTGAAATCAGCAATCTGAAATCAGCTTCGTCTGAAATCAGCAGTCTGAAATCAGCCTCTTAGCATGGGCGGGTCTGGCAAGCCAGTCCCTGCACTCCATTCTTCCGTGTCGGGGACGGAAAAGGATCTTGTGTGTGACTGTGTCACTACGTCAGACTCGAAGGATTTTCGCCTGCGAGAATGGTAAGTGGCCGACATGATGTTTGAGAGATCTGCCATTCTTTCCGAAGCAAGGGCCTTGCACAGCTGTGAGGTAGGGATAAGTTTTCGTTACATGTCCGTATCCGACTAACTATTCCAACAAGGTTTGCATTCCAGGAATCGCCAAGTTATAAACCCCTAAAATTCCAACAAGGTTTGCATTCCAGGAATCGCCAAGTTATAAACCCCTAAACTACAAAAGCCCAGAACTGCAAATTCCGACGTTTGCATTCAATCCTTAAGCCTGGCTTGGCTATGTCGCTCGTCGGTGTCGGGGTTTTTACAGTAATGCTGAGCACTGGCAGGGTCTGAGCCATGGTGCCATTGAATACTATACTGTAAGTTAGCTGTTGTTGTACAGTGATAGGCATAGGAACACAGCAGTGTCAAGTACACGGAATACGACCGGTTTTCACAACTGCTCATGCTACTACTACCTTTACTAGTACTTACTAAATCAAACCTGCTGCTACTCATACTACTTTTGCGACTACCACTGCAATTCTATTCCTAGTGCAGGTAGGACTTAGTGCTGGGAATAGCAGTGCTACTCTACTACTACTGCTACTGATACTTGTGGCGCTAGTACTACCAGGACTACAAGTAATTCTCCTACTGCTGCTAGTGCTAATTAATGCTGGTATGAGTAAATACGGAATGAGCTTTCATATCCCCGGCATCTGTAACTCCAGAGGACCGGGTCTTAGTCTGCCACCGGCACGATGGCTGGGACAGACAGTGGGATGGCCAGACCCACAGAGCCGGAGCAGGGACATCCATCTGTTTCAGGGGTCTCGGATTGATTGATTGTGATTCAGTGATTGGGACTCATTGGGTCAGGAACCTGTCAGAGGGTACAAAGGGATGTGTTCATGTGGCACAACGACTTATAAGTGAATCTATTGAGGCCTCCTGCTGGAATCCCAACAAACAGAGAGAGCAAGCAAGCCCCGGCAGAAATCCAGCTTTCAGAAAGGACTGAGACTAAGACTATCTCTTGTAAGTTAAATGAGGCCTCTAATTTGGACCAGTCTTCAGTTTCAGGACCCTAAACCCTGAACCCTAGGGCCCTAGACGTCGAGTGTGAGCACAGTCGCAGCGGACAAATCCCAGACACATTCCCGATTTTGATCGCGGAGACAGAGGACTGCAGAAAACCCATGGCCAGAAGCGAAGAAATGCCTTCAAATGCTTCATGCCACCTCGTGGGGCAATGTGCACCTCATCGCCAAGCATGGCTTCGATGAGCACCTTGCATGGGTCCGGAGTATTCCGGTATTCCGGCAACAGCCTCTTCATGTCTTGAAGAGGAGTTCGCCCTGGCTCAGTCACGGCTGCTGATCATGAGCCGCGTGACTTAACATGGCTCTTCCCAGGCCTGAGACAGTCCTGGAGTCCTCGTGTCACAGACCAACAGAGGCAGGCCACCTTCAGGCTTCCTGGATGCAAACTCATTGCCAACCTTACTATGCTCATGAAGCCAGAAGTTCACACTGGTGACATGGGTCACAGTGAGAAACGACCGGCTCTGAGCCATCGGGAAAGCAGCTTCTGGCACTACGGCGGCTTCGACCTGGACAAGCTCTGGTCTTTCTCTTTCCCTCATAACTTCCGTTGCTTCATATGCCTTGCTGCAGAATCACTGCACCCGACTAGTTCTGCCGATTTCGGGTGCCTTCGCACCTTCGCCATTCCATTTTCTTCCGGCCCAGGTCGGCAGTGCAGCTGCCAGACACTGAGCTGGTCGGTGGTCGGTTTAGTTAGTTCCCTAACCCGCCGTGGAATCTAAGTCAGTGGGTTTCCCTAAGGCCCCTAGGCTGCTGCTGTTACTCTTTGCCTGCTTGTCACTCGTCATCCAAGTCACATCTCGACTCCGATCGTCAATCCCTCATCATTGAAGCCAAGCCCTCGAGACCCCTAGCCGAGACATAGCCGGGATCTCAGACCAGACTCACTGCATGAATGAAGCTCCTGACTGAGTAATCGGTACTCTCCCCCAGCTCGGTTGAAATAGTTCATATCATTACAAAACAACTACCTTCGCTCCAAGTCTCCTGTATGACTCGAAGTTAAAATTCAGAAGTAAGTCACTGAAAAAGCCTTAAACTCCATTATGTTTCATGATAACAGAGATTTCAAGCCCGAATTCTCTCGCTAGTTCCATCTGAAGTAGGGAAGTAATTACTGATGTTGGACATTTAGATACTGAGACGGCTACTACCGACTGCAGCCCGTTTTCAGCATTGATAGATAGCTTACTTCCTTGTGGAGTCTTCATTATCAGTTATCAAGCATTCTTCGTCCCTCCCAAACCCCACCCATAAATTAAGAACGTGACTGAGAATTCCCTTTCCAAAAACACAAGCACATCCAAAATGCCTCCACTGCCTAAACTTGCTCTAGTCAACCCTGAGAAAACTAAACCAGGATTCTCAAGTCTGATGTTGACAAGAATGTTGGTATTTCTTAAACCTGTAACCTGATCCTGAACCCTGATCTGTTCAGTTCCCGACCGACCCTGAAGCCTTAAGTGACCGCCGTCACATGCAAGCCTGAGCCTTGAATTGACTTGTTAATTTTACTTTCTAATACCCTAACCTGACAATTGGGGGTGGTCAGTGGATTTGGATTTTGCTCCATCGCTGGTCTGGGCATTCGGTCTGGCTGCCCAGGTCCGGCGGTGCTGCTAGCTTGACCTAGGCGAGACCCAGTGCCTGGGGCTCAAGTTCAGTCCAAAACTTAAACCCGGAACCCAGCTCCACATGGGACCTTACATTGGATGCTGTAGCTTATAACCCATATAGCGGCACCTTTACATACTGAAATCTGCAACCACACAGTATTTTGAGCCAGGTCTAGCAGAACGCTTAAAATCTAGCCTGAGTGGGTTGAACAGACTCACGCCGTCACCTCGCCATAACTGGCTTGCGACAAATCAGAACTTTC